ACGACGACGACAACGACGACGACTAAGTCGAGAGCGATCGAACCGACTGTGCCGGTTGGGGCTAAGCGCACGCAAACGAATGCTCTTGGCACCGCGCGTTCCGCCGGAACACGCGCTGCGCGTTCGAGACACGGTGTTTGCCCAATCACGCGTCCGCTGGCGTTGTATCCGGATTTCCGGATACAAGCGCGACCCTTCCAGCAGGCACGAAATTGCCCTTGCCGTTCGTGCTGGCGACGCCTTGCCCGGACGCTGGAGCGTTGAAGATCGATGGGTGCAAGTGCCACAGCTGTTGAAGACGTGCGGTATGATAGGCGACCGTGGCGCCCGCAGTGGGAGGCGATCCAAGTGCGAACGTCAACCTGAACCTGAATCGGATTGAATCTTGGTTGTTCTTGCAGGAATAGTGAAGGACAGTGGTCTAGGTAGCGACGAGCTGCAAGGCTTCGCTCTCAGTCACTTTTGCTGCAGATGAAATGGATGTGCGAGTCGAGGATTATGAAGATCGCCACGGCGGAGGTTGGCGTTTTCGAGGATGTGTAGCTAGTTACGCAGGCCAACTTCAAGCCGCGTCCCACGGTGATGCGCCCGCACATCGCCTGAGCTGCGATGATCGCTCATGTTATTGATGAAGCGCAGCCATCAGCTGAGCGTCCAGATTCGGTTTGTAATCGACGCACGCCATCACCCGAGCGCAGTAGCCTCGTTGGCGGCGTTTGGTTGGCAAGGGACATCCGCGAACTTTGAAAGCAATGCCCTATAACGTGGCGAAGCCTACTTGATTGCAAATCGTTGTCTTCTGCGTGGTACCTCGGTCGACGCGCCGAGTGCAGGGCTCAAGGGTAGGTAAAGAGCACCCATCGCTGGCAGGAATCCACGCATGTGCGGGTGGTTGACTGGCACGTGCCTTGGCTCGTCCCTCGTCGCTGGGAGCGAGATGCTAATAGCAGCACGTACGTACCAGTGGTTCGTATAGCCATGTGCAGGCCACAAAGAGGCAACGCAAGAAAATAGTCGCTTGACCCAAGACGATGGAGCGTGTGGAAGCGTCCTTCCCGACAGCAGATTCCGCAACCAGTGCTGCCGGGTGTGCTGAACCATCTTGAAGTGCTGGAAAGAAGTGCTTTTGATTGGATCAAATGCACAGAGCATCAATCCCACGCCGCCACGTCATTTGAAAATCGTCATGTTGGATTGACCCGCGTCGCTGTGCACGGACAGTCGAACGCCGCTGTCGGTGCGGAGGCTCTCGAGGCGTTTTTCGTACCTGGTGCGCTAGGTAGCGAGCTCACGGACGTGGCGTCCAGGGACGGCCATCACTTCCAGCGCTATTGCCGCGCGCTGCGTGCGCACCGACATGGTCGGTCCTGGGGGCCGCCTTCGTCGAAGGGTTCCAGCTTGCATTCCAATTGTGATCGAAATATGCGCTTCTTCTTCCTACGCATCGCGTATCTTTTTTCCACTGGGAAAGACTCACCCTCGATGAAAAAGGCGTGCGCTCGCCAGCGACGCCTCGGATCTCTGCCTCTAAACTCCTGGTTCCTATTTAATGATGTATTTTTGAATGGATTAATATCATTTTTGTGTTTTGTTGTCTTACATGCACAGTCGAGCTATATAGCTACGTGTGCGTCTTGGTTGATGCCGACGTCGTGGCAGCTGCATGCGTCTTCTTCCGCATCAGCCCTCGGACCTTGTTGGCGTCCATCATGAGATCGGCTCATTCGCAACCGCGACTGGCGAGCCTCGATGTTTCGCCGGATAATGATGAGCTGGCAGGCGCTGCGCCGCCCATTATCCGGATATGTTGATGCGTGTCAACGCAGCTGAGATCTGAACCCACCTCTGTTTACACACGTCGCAGGAGAGACATTATATGGTGTTCCGGTCGATGGAGCTCCAAGGTGATAACCCTGTCCAGCAGGCAGTCGACGCCAGAGAAAATGCCGTCGCCAGCGTTCGTCGATCCACAATCGCAATGGATTTGGCACCACAGTTGGCCAGATCAGCAACGTACCAAGATCGAGAAGAGGCCCTCGAGAAGAGCTCGTCGAGGACGAGAGCGGTTGCCAAGGCCTCGCCCGCTTGGTTCGTCAATTCCACCTCAACACACTGCGCCGCAGCGTCCGTGGAAGCGCTAGTCGTTCAGTGAGAACGTTGTCGGTGGCAACCACTGGCCCCGTGCGATGCAGGTGTTTTCGCGCGAGGTTACGGTCCACTCCTTTGTCAAAGTTCGAGTTCTTGCATTCGCGACGGCTCTGTGCGGCGAGTGGACTCAGAATATCTATCCATCTATCTCGATAATAACTGTGTACGATAGTTGATCGAACGGGAAATAGGATTAGGGTGCCGAGACTACTTTTTGAGTTTGTTTCGACGAATAACTGCAATCAAGTTGTGGCCAATGTAGCCGAGTAGCCGCGCTTCGCCGCCGGGCGGCAGCACAATGATCTTGTAGCGCGGAACGTCGAGCGCCATGCCCGCGACAGGCTCGGCGCGATGTCGCAGCAGGTACGTCTTGAGCTCTTCGTACGGCACGGCGTCCGTCGGCGAGAGCGGCAGCATCTCGTAGATCCAGTGCGGGCACTCGCTCTTGGCCTCCAAGTGCATGAACGTTTCAAAGAGCTTGAGCTTCGGGAGCTGGCTCACGTTGACCTCCTGCGGTCTACAATAATATGAACGTCAAAAACAAAAACACTTCAACTCAAAAACAAAAAAACGCAACACAAAAAGAGACGTACAGCGGTTGGCGAGTAAAGGGCAGCCCGGTCGCCATCGCCCGGCATTGCACCATCTTCTTGCCCAAAAGCACGGCAAAAAACCACTCGCTCCCAGGCATGATCTACCATCGGACTAGTGAGCACGCGAGAAAGTCGAGAGGAGCGCGTACCGGGACAGGCGACGCGCGCCGGACCACGATCGGCGTGCGCGGGTACGGCGGCGGCGACGGCGGCCCGTTGATTTCAGCGAGCCGGGGTTCGGGGCGTCGCGGCGACTCCCCGCCGCCAAACTCAAACGACGGCGGGTCGTCGTGTTGCGGCGCCTTATACGACGACTCGGGCTTGAAGCGCTTCGCATCGAAAGCATTTGCGTCACGGTGCCGGCTTTTGGATCGGCTACGCCCCGACGCTCGGGCTGATAGCTCGGCGCACGGCCACCGCTTCGACCGGCGTTGCCATAGCTACTACTGTCGCGGCTGCTGGCACGAGACGGACTCCGTCCGTTGTCGCTCCCGCGGCTGCCGTAGTGACCGCCACGGCCGCCCCGTCCAGTGCTGTCGCGGGGCTGGCTACGCCGGTCGTGGCTGCGGTGGTCGTTGCTGCTGCTTGGCACACTGCTGCCGTACCGACCTCGACCCGCGCCCTCGTTGTTGCGACCGTCGTCGTAGCGTCGCGAGACGTTCCATGACGCGCCATCGTCACGGCGACCGGTCAAGTCCGAACGCGGCGCCGAAGGACCAAAGCCACGGCTTGCGTCACGC